CTCTCTCTCATTCTGTATCAAAACAAATAAACTTAGAAAGAAAAATTTCTCCAAAGGTGATACACCAATGACCAACAAGCACATGAAAACATACTCCACATCACTCATCATCAGAGAAATACAAATTAACACCACAATGAACTATCACTTTTCACCCATTAGGATGGCTACTATTTAAAATAAAAATAAAAATAAAAAAGAAGAAGAAGAAAGAAAAGAAAAGAAAAGAAAAGAAAAGAAAAGAAAAGAAAAGAAGACCAAAGGGGCCCAAGGGATAGCTCAGTTGGTTAAGTATCTGACTCTTGATTTCGGCTCATGTCATGATCTCACCATTTATTAGATCGAGCCCCCCATCAGGCTCTGCGCTGACATTGTGGAGCCTGCTTGGGATCCTCTCTCTCTCCTTCTCTCTCACCCCTCCCCTGTGCGCGCTCTCTCTCTCTCTCTCCCAAAATAATAAACTTTAAAAAATAAAAATATAAAAGTAAAAATAAATTTATAAAAAAGAAAAGAACAAATGTTAGCAAGGATGGGCAGAAATTGTGCACTGTTGGTGGAACTGCAAGATGGTGCCACTGCTAGGGAAAACAGTACAGAGTTTCCTCAAAAAATTAAAAATAGAACTATCACCTGATCTAGCAATCCCACTTCTGGCTATATATATCCCAGAATTGAAAGCAAGATCTCAAAGATTTGCATACCTACGTTCACAGCAGCACTATTCAAAATAACCAAGAGGCAAAAGCATCCAAATGCCCATCAACAAAATGTGGCATATACATACAATGGGATATTATTCAGCCTAAAAAATAGAAGGAAATCCTGTCACATCCTACAACATGGATGAACCTTGAGGAAGTTATTCTAAGTGAAGTAAGCCAGTCACAAAAAGACAAAAATCGCATGCTTCTACTTACAGGAGGTAGCTAAAATAGTCAAATTCATAGAAACAGAAAACAGAATAGTGGTTACCAGGAGCTGGAGAGATGAGGTAAGGGGGATTCGTTTTATGGGTATAGAGTTTCAGTTGTGCAAGACGAAAAAGTTCTAGAGATCTGTTTCACAACATAACCCTAATGAACTGCACACTCAAAAAAATGGTTAAGATGATAAATTTAATGTTTTTTTTAACACAATAAAAAAAATTTTTTAAGTACCCATTCTGGCCATCGGGGCCTCTTAAGAATACTGCCTCGTCCCTTAATCTTGCTTATTAAAAGTTTTAAATCTAACAGGTAGGTGTCCTCTCACAGTCTGGGCAACTAGAGACCCCTTGTTTTTATAAAAAGGAATAGATACAGGCCATTTGAAGAACTCCTAGAAAACCCCTATCAATGTGGCAGACCTTAGCAGGGATTCAGACTACTCCTCCCTTGACTTTGGCTAAACTAGTTCATCCTTTCTTCACCTCCAGCTGCTGAAGGCTCTGAAGGGCTTTTAAGGAGGTGCCTGCATGCCTGGTATGCCCTAGATCCTATACTCTGGTTCCGTGAAGTGGGTGGGGTGGTTTAACTAATCCACAGATGGGCCACCTCATGTGAACCCAGGAAGATCAGCCTGCAGAGAAATGCCAGCCTGCACAGACAACCTGCAGAGAAATGCCAGATCCACCAGGGGGCACCAGGCACCATACTACGCCACACCACGCCACATCCAGTACTCAGCCTAGTCCCTAGCCACCTACCCATGCCAAACAAGGGTCTCTGGCCAGCTTGCTTCTGCACTCCACAGGGTATAGGCCTGGATGGAAGGCCTAGATGTCCTCTTCCAGAGGCCTCTCTGTTTGTTCATAAACCATATTGACTCTCCCAGAGTAAGCGTCTATCAAACATGCCAAGGGGGCATCCAACAAAACAAGTTAAGTTCTCTGGGATTTGGTCTTTTGATACCTGTTCCTCAGGCTCTGAGACCACGAGTCCTCACAATCCCTCACAGTCCATGAGTCCTCACAGTCCTTCCTTCCTCCCAATCCCTTTCTAAATCCAAGAGGTTTTTCTGGAGGGCAGGAGGGTGCAGGCCAGGACAGGCTATACTTAACCCACTTGGGGGCCTGAGTGTGGGCTCAAAGGATGAGTGACAAGATTAATAATGCTCAGTGCACTACCACATTTCCCTGAGACTGGCCCCTGGACACAGGTTCCTCCCTGCCCTAGGCACATTCTAGCAGCCTGCCCTCAGCACATTCTGGCAGCCTGGAAGGCTTATGGATGCCCAGCTCTCATTTCTTGGACCTCCTTGCCTTTATTTCAACAAACTACTTAGAAGTCGGGTCCTAAGCCTGTGATCCTGAACACGGGAACCTCCTTTTCTGACTCCCACATTTGGACAACACATACTCCCTCCCTCCCATTTCACCTTGCTAGCACCCTAGATAGCTCTGCCCCTGCTGTGCTAATAGACACTGGCATGCCAATCCCCAGCCATGGGCATCCCCCTGCCAAGCTTTGCAGATCTCCTTCCCATAAAGTTAAAAATCAGTATGACTATACACACCTAGCTGCTAGGCAAACACCCAGACCATTCTCCACAGGAACAAGAACAAAATGCTCTCACTTTCTTTCCTCAGTCCCCACCCCGCTCCCGCCACCCTCACTGCCAAGATGTGGGACTGGCTTCCCACATCTTGTAAAACAAGTCTCTCAGGAAAAAACCCTTGGCTTTCCTGCCTTCTACGGTCCTACCACTCTTCTCCTTGCCCTATCTTGGAGCTAAGCCCCACCACCTCATCTAGAATCTATCCCTCCAAGACCAGGCCCTACCTATTCCCCACTGATCTGCCGAATCTTCAGGTCCCTCCTCACTGCTAAGTGCTTCCTCTTATGTTGCAAACATGCAAGCCACCTAAACACAATTCCCTTCAGGGGTGCCTGGGTGGATCAGGAGTTAAGCGTCCCATTCTTGATTTGGGCTCAGGTCATAATCAAGCCCCATGTGGGGCTTGATGTGGGGTCCCACACTGGGCATGGAGCCTGCTTAAGATTTTCTCTCTCCTCCCCCCCCCAAAAAAAAACAGGGCAGGGGGTGCGCCTGGGTGGCTCAGTTGGTTAAACGTCCGACTTTGGCTCAGGTCATGATCTTGTGGTCTGTGAGTTCAAGCCCCGTGTCGGGCTCTGTGCTGACAGCTCAGAGCCTGGAGCCTGCTTCAGAATCTGTGTCTCCCTCTCTCACTGTCCCTCCCCCCATTCATTCTCAATCTCTCTCTCTCTCTCTCAAAAATAAACATTAAAAAAAAAAAAAAAGATTTTCTCTCTCCCTCTGCCCCTCCCCCACTTGCATGCTAGCTCGCGCTCTCTCAAAAAGAAACAAAAAATAAAAAATACCCAATTCCCTTCATCCAGCTTCCTTTGCCTCCACTACCTACATGTACTCTTTTCCTCCCCTCACCTCCTGAATTCCTAAGGGGTACTGAGCAGCTCTGCTTCTACTTCCCCATTTGCTGCTCACTCCACAATCCATTGCCCTGTCAGATGTATCTCGGTGCACTTTGGATTTTCAAATCAAACACATTTTTGGTCTTTTTGCAATTGGACTTCTATGCATCATCTGTCACACCTGACAAACTTGACTTTTGCCTTCCCTGACACACATTCTTCTTAATTTGCCTATTTCTCTCACTCTTTTACTTTACTTTCTTTTCTTTTTTTTTAAATTTTAAGTAGGTTCCATGCCCAACATGGGGCTCGAACTCACAACCCTAAGATCAAGAGTTATATGCTGTACTGACTGAGCCAGCCAGGCTCCCCGCTCTTACTTTTCTATCATAAATTACTAGCCCGTCCCACCCACACACAACATCCAATACATTAGGGTGTACTCTTTCCAAATCCCCTCTTAAGCCCTTCCTTCTCTCTATACCAGTGGCTTTCTTTTCAATGAAAAATTTTTTTATTTTGAGATAATTAGAGGCTCACATGCAGTTGTAAGAGTGTGAGCTCCTATGTACTGTTTGCCCAACTTCCCCAATGGTAACATCTTATAAATGTACAGTATAATGTCACAACCAGGATACTGACATTGATACAGTTAAGACACAAAACAGCTCCATCCCCACCAGGATTCCTTGTGTTGCCCTTTTGTAGCCACAGTCCCCATCCCACCACCAGGGGGACAAAAGTATCAGAAGCATTTGAGCAGCTTCTTCTTCAACTTCTCACACATACTAGGGGGACATATCAGGACTGGGGCCTGGAGGGAAGCTCTCCAGATAATTCTGTTAGATATCCAGCTGAGAAACACTGCTCACACCTCCACACTATCCAATATCAGCTACTCCTACAATGCTGTTTTTCCTAGAAAATGCTTTTTATTTATTTAAAATGTACGTATTTTGAGAGAGAGAGAAAGAGAGAGTGCATATAAGTGGGGGAGGGGCAGAGAGAGGGGAAGAGAAAGAGAGAGAGGGGGAGAGACAGAGAATCCCAAGCAGGCTCAGCACGGAGCCTGATGTGAGGCTCAAACCCACAAACTGGGAGATTTTGACCTGACTCCAAAAACAGAGGAGTCAGACACTTAACTGACTGAGCCACCCAGGCGCCCCTAGAAAATACTTTTTAAACCTTGGTCTGAAGTCATACTATTCTCCAGAGCAGCCAGGACATACACAACCTACCAGTTACTGCCACCAGAAAACCCTACAGCTCCCAAAACCAACCCCATACAGCTTCCTTCTCTTCCTAACCTTGAGTTCATTCATTCATGCACTGAATGTATATTAATTCCTACAGGGGCCAGGGCTGTGACCTGACACAACACTCATCTATCCACCTGGCCCAAGCGTTCCACAATGCCTCCTTGCTGCCCAGGCTCCTGGCCCTCAACAGGGCTTAGAGAACTCCTAAGTGTCATACATGTTTATCTCCCACTGCTTTCAGCAAGCACCTGTGATGTGAGTGCCCATTCTGCCTCCCACCAACTCCTGATTACTCCCACCTACAGAGAAGGAGGCTGCACTGGTGAGGAAAAAAAAAAAAAGCCCTCCAGGAAAATCAGGAGCCCCTTACCTCACAGTACACAATATCTGCTCCATAGTCCAGGGCCAGCAGCCTCATTGGGAGAGTGCCTACCCGAACCATAGGGGCTAAGATGAGTTTGTTGTGGTAGCACAGCGACAGGCTGTGTTCAATCATTCCTCCTCTGATACTGCCTGCAGAAAGGGAAAACAAGAGTCAGAAATCCAAACAAAGAAATATCTTCTGGGGCGCGTGGGTGGCTCAGTCTGTTAAGCATCCTACCTACTCTTGATTTTGGTTCAGGTCATGATTTCTTGGTTCATGAGCTTGGGCCCAGCATTGGGCTCTGTGCTGACAGTGAGGAGCCTGCTTGGGGTCTCTCTCTCTCCCTCTCTCTCTCTCTCTCTCAAAAATAAATAAACATTAAAAAAAAAAAAAAGGGGAAAAAAAAATCTCTTCTGTTACCCAGGGCAGGCTTTTCCTCTTCTTTCCAACACACAGGACTTTGTTTTCCTTTTCTCTGATCACAAAAATAATGCTTCCTTATTTATTCATCTAAAGAATATTCATTGGGGCGCCTGGGTGGCTCAATCGGTTAAGCCTCTGACTTCAGCTCAGGTCACGATCTCATGGTTCATGAGTTTGAGCCCCACATTGGGTTCTGTAGCACAGGGCCTGCTTCAAATCCTGTCTCCCTCTCTCTGCCCCTCCCCCATTCACTCTCTGTCTCAAAAATAAAAATAAACATTAAATAAATAAATAAATAAATAAATAAATAAATAAATAAATAAAATTTATTAAGTGCCTAGTCTTGCCAGTCACTGTCCTAGTCTGATACATCAGAGAATGAAACACAAAAATTGCTGCTCTGGTAGAGCTTTCAATCTAGCAGGGGAACAAAGGCAGAAAACAATACATAACAAACTATATAGTATGTTGGAAAAGTGGTAATGCTACAGATTAAAAAAGCAGGGAGAAAGGAAATTGAAAACACTGGGGATGTGACTGACACATAATGCTGTATCAGTTCAAGGTGTACAACAAAGTGATTTGATATACATATATACTACAAAATGATTACCATAATAAGTTACGTCCATCACCTCACACACTAATAATTTTTTTCTTGTGATGAAAACTTTTAACATCTACTCTTAACAACTTTCAAATACACAAAATTATCAACTATAGTCGCTATGTTATACATTACACCCCTAGAAAGTATTTATCCTCTCACTGGAAGTTCATACCTTTTGACCACCTTTGCCCATTTACCCCACACCCCCAGCAGGAAAAATGTAAATAATTGGTATATCAATGGTATATTTTATATGAAAATATTTACATTAAAATATGAAAATATTTATATTAAAATATAAAATTTTAAATAGGTAAACCAGGGCACCTGGGTGGCTCAGTTCGTTTAGCGCCCAATTCTTGATTTCGACTCAGGTCATGTTCTCATGGTTCATGAGATGAAGCCCCAAGTCGGGCTCTGTGCTGACTGCACAGAGTGTGCTTGGGATTTTGTCTCTCCCTGTTTCTCTACTCCTCCCCCACTTATGCTCTTGCTCGCTCTCTCTCTCTCTTAAAATAAATAAATAAATAAATAAACCAAAAAAAAAGCTCAAAATAAAATAAATAGGGAAAACAAGATAGACTTCAATGGGAAGATAACATTTGAGCTAAGATATGAGTTAGCCAAGTTGATATCTAGTAGAAGAATACACAGAAGAAACAGCCAGTGCAAAGGCCCTCGGGCAGGAGCTTGCCTGGTATGTTAGAAGAACATCAAGGAGACCAACATGGTTGGGACACAGAGAGGAGAAGAGAAACTAATGTTTCTCATTACACGATGTTTCTCAGATACACGATGTCACAGCAGTAAACAGGTAGGGTCAGATCCCATATGGCCTTTGTTAGCTCTTCATGAAATAGAAGCCAGCAAAGGGTTTCAAGTAGAGGAGTAGCATGACTGAACATGTTTTCTCATGATCACGGTGATTGCTATAAAAAGAGCAGTCTGGGGGCGCCTGGGTGGCGCAGTCGGTTAGGCGTCCGACTTCAACCAGGTCACGATCTCACGGTCCGTGAGTTCGAGCCCCGCGTCGGGCTCTGGGCTGATGGCTCAGAGCCTGGAGCCTGTTTCCGATTCTGTGTCTCCCTCTCTCTCTGCCCCTTGCCCGTTCATGCTCTGTCTCTCTCTGTCCCAAAAATAAATAAAACGTTGAAAAAAAAAAAAAAAAAAAAAAAAAAGAGCAGTCTGTTAGGGGCCAGAGTAAACACAGGGAGACCAGGTACAAGGCTCTTTAGTAACCAACACAAGAGATGAGATAATGGTCGCTCAGGCCAGGTGGTGAGAAGTGGTCATATGCCAAAAATACTTTGAAGGTAGAGCCAACAGGAATAAAAAGAAGAAAATCAAAATCCCATATCCCAGAGAGAACTGTTCATATTAATTTATTTATTTATTCTAAGCAAATATGGACCACTCCAAAAAGTCATAAAGCTGGCTAATCAATGCTGTGTTCTGCTCCATTACTAATACTGTCTCCATTTTCTTTTTACTATTCAGCCCATTCTGGTTGGCCCCCACCTCCACTGTTCTATCAAAACTGCTCTAATTAAAGTCACCAATTACCTGGAAGTTGAGCAATCAACCAGACACTTACTTATGACATGGTTGAAACTCCCCTCTTCCTTGATCTCTCTCCTCCCTGGGCTTCTCTGACCCCACACTTTCCTGGTTTTTCTCCCACCAGTCTGCCCTGCTTTTCAGTCTTCTTTGCTGGTTTCACTTCCTCTACTTACCTATTGAGGTTCTTCCTTAGTCTTGAGTCCTCTTTCCTTCTAATTCCACACATCCTCCCTTGAAAGTTTATTTACTCCCATGGCTTAAAATGTTGATAAAATGCTGGTGATCTCATACCAACTGCTCAAAACACGTCCCTACCCGGCTATCTTAAGGGCACCTCATACCAAACATGCACAAAACAAGATCTTGAGCTGCCCTCCTAAGCCATCTCCTCTGTCTTCATTAATTCATTCAACAGAAATTTATCGAGCCCCTCTGATATGCCAAGCACTGGCTGGCACTAGAAATAAAATGATGAGAAGGAGGTACAGTAGAAGAGAGGGTTATAGAAAGGGAACTTAGAAATACGTGTGAAATTATAATCATGTACAGTGCTATGTGAAGGACATGAGGATTTAGGAATTTGTGTCAGGAGGAAAGGGATGGATGGGGGTTGAGGAAGACTTCCCTTAAGAAATAGTTTCTGATTCAAGATCTCAAGGGAGAGAATTAATCAGGCCAATACATGGAGAGAAAATGTTTCCCATTTCAGCAATTAGCACCTCCATTCACCCAATTACTCATCATTAATCCACACTCTCCACATTCAATCTGTCACTAACTCCTGTGAAACAACCTTCAAAATATAACTCTAATCCATCTGCTCTGCTCCAGTGCTATCCATCTCCAGTGCTACCACAGTGCACAAAGCCAGCCTCCTAATGGGTCTCCCAAATCTAATCTTACCTCCTCCTATCCTCTTTGTGATACTGCGTGGCATTTGAAAAAGGCAACTCTGATAACACCACTCCCCTGTTTATACCCTTCAATGGCTTCCCACTAAGTTTAGGATAACTCCCAAACCCTTCTGCTGGCCCAAGAAGCCCTGCATGACCTGTTCCTGCCCACGTCTCCAGCTCACCTTGAGCCTTTCTCCCACTCACTCTCCTTGCTCTGGCCACACTGACCTTTGGAAGTCTCCCACACCAAGACCTCTGCTGCCCTGGAGCCCATGTACTCGCAGTCCTCTGTCTGGAACACTCTCCCCGACTCAATCACACACACTCCCACTAAGATCCTCTTGACCTTGAATGTCCCCTTTTTGGAGACATTTCCCTACCAGACAACCGTACTTCAGGTCCCTGGTCACATGCTCTCACAACACTTTGTGCTTCCCGATAGCTCAGTAACAATCCATGTGTTCACACTTATTTGTGTGGTCTCTTCTTTAACCCTTAGCTGGTCCTCTAGATCACCAGCACAACAAGTTCCATAAAGACAGGAGCGTGGCTGTCTAGTTTACTGCCAGGCTTTAGCACGGAGCCCAGCACTTGCCCCTTAGCAGCTGTTTTGTAAGGAAGGTGTGACTGAACACTCACCTCTCTGGTGGCTAAGGACACCCTCCTGCAGCGTGGTTGATCCAGGAACTCCCTCTGGCACCAGGCCAGCAGTGCCTGACAGGGCCTGCCTCCACGAAGGCTCCTCTCAGAGAAGCTAGGCAGCCCTACCCTTTCCCAGCTACTGGCACAACCATTCACCCGGCCCTGAGATCACACCCAGATCACCATTTTAGCACAAACAGAAACAATCTCTCTACCATTCTTTCAAGGAAGGGCTGGTCTTCTCTATGACAGTTTTGATTGCCTTCTCAGACTATAACCTTAACTTCAGTCGCATGGATACAAAATTCCATTAGTTATAATGCCTTCAGATTGAAGATAACAGTATTCAGGAAAAGCAATGAGTGGAAAAAACTTTACCAGTCCCATCCATGTAAATCTTCCTGTAGACTACGACCTTGCTTAAAAAGCAATTTCTTTAAAATACAAATTTAGAGTTAAAATGACAGTCAATTAGGATTAAATATTTAGAGAATTATCCTATTTCCCACTCAAACCTGTGTAGATAAGAAAAAAATCTATTATATTTGTAAGACAAAGAGGTGATATAGCATATCACCATTAAGATTCTGATCTCTGGAATCAGACAGACCTGCAGTGGAATCCCAACTATGCCCAGGCAGATGAATTAACCTAGTGGAGGCTCAGCCTCTCTCTCTAGAATGAATTAACCTAGTAGAGGCTCAGCTTCTCTCTTTAGAATGAGGCTCCAGCAGAATCTATGTCAGGTGAGACGCTGTGAAGAGTCAATTCTAGGACACACAATAGTTCTCAACACAGAGTAAGGGTTAAATGTTTTGTTTTTTATGTTTATTCATTTTTGAAAGACAGAAAGAGACAGAGCACAAGCAGGGGTGGGGCTGAGAGAGAGTGGGACACAGAATCTGAATGAAGCAGGCTCCAGGCTCCGAGCTGTCAGGACAGAGCCTGACACAGGGCTCGATCTCACGAACCTTGAGATCATGACCTGAGCCGAAGTCAGATGCTCAACCGACTGAGACACCCAGGCGCCCCTGTAAGGGTTAAATGTTAACTGCTCTCATTATCGGGCTTTTTACACTTGCAACACATTCTATGATTACATCAACAAACATCTACCAGTTCTTTTAGGATCAAGGCACTGTGTGGGGTGTTGAAGGTAAAGAAATGGAAAGAACTAAGCTCTTGACTTCAAGGAGCTTCTCGGTTCTGCCACTGCCACCTATCAAGTGAATGATGGCAACAGCCTGCAAACCAGTCTCTGCTTCCAGGCTCATTATGTTCAATTTATGTTCTTTCCAGCAGTCAGAGGAGTCTTTCAAAACACAAATAAGGACAAGATATTCCATTCTCCAAATGGAATTCTTGCCCTTAGAATTAAGTTGCAGCTCCTTAATATTGCAAACAAGTCTTCCCCCTGCCTTCCTCAGAAGCACTATCTTTCATCACTTGCCTCCTGCCCTCTTACCTCCCCCATGCTAAGCTTCAGCTATTCTCAAGTATTTCTAGTTCCCAAATTGGCCTGCTCTCTCTCTCTGAACAAGTTGCCCCTACATAGAACACACATTCCTATTCCCCCACCTGGCTGACTTCCAGTAGCCTTTCAGAACCTCAGTACAGATGTCACCTGCTCCAGAAAGCCTTCCCTGACACTTACCTTCCAGAGTAAGGGCACCTCCTCTTAGCTCATGTCTTTCTTAGCATTAAGTACACTCTTGTAATCCCAAGAGCAACTATCAATCTGCCTCCCACATCACAAGGTGAAGGCAAGCACTGCACCTTGCTCATCACCAGGTCCTGTCACAGAGCACACAGTCTGGCATAATGTAGGTGTTTAGAGTTTGTTGTAAAAAGAAGTTAACAAGTCAAGTGGCAATGAGAATTTATGGTTCATGCTTCAGCCACAGAAGAGCTCTATCAAAGACAAATGTGCTCTATCACAGAGAATTTAAAGTGCCTCATCACAACCCCTATCAAAATAACACCAGCATTCTTCACAGAGCTAGATCAAACACTCCCAAAATTTGTATGGAACCAGAAAAGAACCCGAATAGCCAAAGCAATCTTGAAAACCAAAGCTGAAGGCATCACAGTCCCAGACTTCAAGCTGCATTACAAAGCTGTAATCATCAAGACAATATGGTACTGGCACAAGAACAGACACTCAGATCAATGGAACAGAATAAAGAACCCAGATATGGACCCACAAACATATGGCCAACTGATCTTTGATAAAGCAGGAAAGAGCATCCAATGAAATAAAGACAGTCTCCTCAGCAAGTGGTGTTGGGAAAACTGGACAGCGACATGCAGAAAAATGAACCTGGACCACTTTCTTACACCATACACAAAAATAAACTCAAAATGGATGAAAAACCTAAATGTAAGACAGAAAGCCATCAAAATCTTAGAGGAGAGAGGCACCTGAGTGGCTCAGTTAAGCATCTGACTTCAGCTCAGGTCATGATCTCGCAGTTTGTGAGTTCGAGCCCCGTGTCAAGCTCTGTGCTGACAGCTCAGAGCCTGGAGCCTGTTTCAGATTCTGTGTCTCCCTCTCTCTGACCCTCCCCCACTCATGCGCGCGCTCTCTCTCTCTCTCTCTCTCTCTCTCTCTCTCTCTCTCTTTCTCAAATATAAATAAACATTAAAAAAAAATTTTTTTAAATCTTAGAGGAGAAAGCAGGCAAAAACCTCTTTGACCTTGGCCACAGCAACTTCTTACTCAACACGTCTCTGGAGGCAAGGGAAACAAAAGCAAAAATGAACTTTGGGACCTCATCAAGATAAAAAGCTTCTGCACAGCAAAGGAAACAATCAGAAAAACTAAAAGGTAACCGATGGAATGGGAGAAGATGTTTGCAAATGACATATCAAATAACATACCAGCTAAAGGGTTAGTATCCAAAATCCATAAAGAACTTATCAAACTCAGGGGTGCCTGGGTGGCGCAGTCGGTTAAGCGTCCGACTTCAGCCAGGTCACGATCTCGCGGTCCGGGAGTTCGAGCCCCGCGTCAGGCTCTGGGCTGATGGCTCAGAGCCTGGAGCCTGTTTCCGATTCTGTGTCTCCCTCTTTCTCTGTACCTCCCCCGTTCATGCTCTGTCTCTCTCTGTCCCAAAAAAATAAATAAATAAACGTTGAAAAAAAAGAACTTATCAAACTCAACACCCAAGAAACAAATAACCCAGTGAAGAAATGGGAAAAAGACATGAATAGACACTTATCCAAAGAAGACATCCAGATGGCCAATCGACACATGAAAAGATGTTCAACATCACTCATCACAGGGAAATACAAATCAAATCACAACGAGATACCACCTCACACCTGTCAGAATGGCTAACACTAACAACTGAGGCAACAACAGATGGGGGTGAGGATGCAGAGAAAGAGGATCTCTTTTGCACTGCTGGTGGGAATGCAAACTGGTGCAGCCACTCTGGAAACAGTATGGAGGTTCCTCAAAAATTTACGGGGCGCCTGGGTGGCGCAGTCGGTTAAGCGTCCGACTTCAGCCAGGTCACGATCTCGCGGTCTGTGAGTTCGAGCCCCGCGTCAGGCTCTGGGCTGATGGCTCAGAGCCTGGAGCCTGTTTCCGATTCTGTGTCTCCCTCTCTCTCTGCCCCTCCCCCATTCATGCTCTGTCTCTCTCTGTCCCAAAAATAAATAAACGTTGAAAAAAAAATTTTTTTTTAAATTTAAAAATAAAACTACCCTATGATCCAGCAATTGGGCTACTAGGTATTTATCCAAGAGACACAAGTATGCTGTTTCGAAGGGGAACATGCACCCCAGTGTTTATAGCAGCACTATTGACAATAGCCAAAGTATGGAAACAGCCCAAATGCCCATCGATGGATGAATGGATAAAGAAGATGTGGTAGGGGCGCCTGGGTGGCTCAGTCGGTTAAGCGTCCGACTTCGACTCAGGTCATGATCTCACGGTCTGTGAGTTCAAGCCCCACATCGGGCTCTGTGCTGACAGCTCAGAGCCTGGATCCTGCTTCAGGTTCTGTGTCTCCCTCTTTCTCTCTCCTCCCCTGCTCATGCTCTGTCTCTCTCTTCTCAAAAATAAATAAACGTTAAAAAAAAATTAAAAAAAAAAGATGTGGTATACACACACACACACAATGGAGTATTACTTGGCAATCAGAAAGAATGAAATCTTGCCATTTGCAACTACATGGATGGAACTAGAGGGTATTATGCTAAGCAAAATTAGTCAGCCAGAGAAAGACAAATATCATATGACTTCACTCATACGAGGACTTTAAGAGACAAAACAGATGAACATAAGGGAATGGAAGTAAAAATAACATAAAAAACAGGGAGGGGGACAAAACATAAGAGACTCTTAAATATAGAAAACAAAGACAGGGTTGCTGGAGGGACTGTGGGAGGGGGGATGGGCTAAATGGGTAAGCGGCATTAAGAAATCTACTGAAATCATTGTTGCACTATATGCTAACTAACTTGGATGTAAATTAAAAAATAAATAATTAACTAAATAAAATTAAATAAATACGTAAATAAAAATAAAGTGCCTTGTACCTCCAGTTTTGGTTACAGAGCCCACAAATGCCACCCCACTCTCTTGCTCACCCAGTAAAGGACTGTAAGCTCTTTATCCTACTCAAATGAGAGCTACCACTTGAGTGAACAAGATTCAGATAAGAAAGCAGCAGGAGATGAAGTTGAAGCCAGATTCTGGAGAGTGACTAGGAGATAAGCTGTAGGCCATGGGCATCCATTGATGGCTTTTGAGTCAAGGGGTGACACGGCCATGGCTGTGCTTAGGAAGATCACTTGCACAACAGACGATGGGCTGGAGGGTAAAGGACAGGAAGGAGATAAGGAGTTGGATTAGAAAGAAGGTGAAATAGTCTAGGCATATAATGACAAGAGCTGAAAAGAAAATGGCCAGTACTTACACAACAGCACTGATGTAGGCTGGGAAATGAAAGAACAGGGAGGGAATACTAATAGCCACTTTTCATTTTTATAATGCCTTGCAATTCTCAAAATGCTTTATTTATAAGTATTGTGATTCTCAAACCTGGCAGCACATTAGAATCATCTGAAAGGCTTAAAAAAATACCAATGTTCAGGGGCACCTGGGTGGTTCAGTCGGTTGAGTGTCCAACTTCGGCCCAGGTCTGATCTCATGGTCCGTGAGTTCAAGCCCCGCGTCGGGCTCTGTGCTGACAGCTCAGAGCCTGGAGCCTGTTTCAGATTCTGTGTCTCCCTCACTCTCTGACCCTCTCCCGTTCATGCTCTGTCTCTCTCTGTCTCAAAAGATGAATAAACATTTAAAAAAAATTTTTTTTTAAATACAATGTTCAGGCCTTACCCCAAACGAATTAAGTCAGTATGTAAACTCCTGTTTTGTTCACTGTCTCTTTGAATAGTACCCAGCACATACATGGTGCTCAGGAAATAGTTACTGAATGAATAAATGAATGAATGACTGTACCATTATCAGCT